GAGCAAAAAAAATGCTTCAATAGCTACAATGTTATTCACAAGCATGAAAAGTTTCATTCATGGGAATTACGTGACAAAAGATGTTTATACAGTCGTCTTATTACGCCAATGTCTATTTGTAACAGGGCTACAATGCAAAACTCTGCAGCTGTATGTTTTTTATCTATTTGCATTAAACGTGGGAGCCTTGCATGAAGTGAGCCATTAAATGTAAAGACAAGTAATGCATCCTACCAGTCTATTTATGATCACGCAATCAAATCAAACCATTCCTTTCGCAGAATCTGTCATCTCCAATAAAAAAACAAAAATAATTCTGAAAGATTCTATTGAAGTTTGTGCTTCAATAGAAAGCAATAGTTTAAGTTTTTTGGTGAATGTAATTGATTTTTTACGGATTCTCAGGTGTGAAGAAGAGCTTGTCAAGACAAACAGAAGAGATCGTCGGCGTCGCTAAAATACCGCAAAACAAGCAACAAATGCATTTATAATGAGATGCACTTCAGTTTTATTTTCCGCGGGGATCACTCAAGACAGCAACCTGACGCTTAAATAAAAATAAATCTGCGGTTTGCAGTCTGAAGTAAAAGTCTGAATCCTAAAAGAAACAAAATTCCTGCATATAACCAATAAAATTTGTCTTCATGAAGGTGTACTTCACATGCAAGTCAAAATTCAAATTTAGGAACGAAAATCCACATGCAAGTTTAAGGTCGACGAGGGCGTGGCTTCAATTGTTGATTGGAGAAGCGTCACGCCCGAACGTCCAAAGCAGAATGGACAGCACAACATCCACGTTGCAGTAGCATACAGAGTGAGCACGTGTTCAATAACCTGCTCATTCAGTCATGTATGATGGTAATAGCCTGAATACAGGGTCCAACAAGTGTCATCGGACAAGTTCGAGAATGTGTCAGCTATGCACGGTAAATAACATAGAAAAAGCGAAATTTTTACTTATATATTTTGTCTTGACGTGAACGTACACTGATCAGAACGGTGAACGCATTGACTTCATCAAACCATAGCATCAGATAATTAATTCATAGCAGGAAAACCCACACAATTAGCTGCATTAATACATAAACTATATATAAACTAAGAGACTGTCCTCATTACCAAATTTTCTGACCATATAGAGTATACGATTCCAACAGAAGGGAAATCCCAAATTTGTGATGGACGTTGGGATCAACAACACCTTGAATGCACGTGCAATGAAAGTTATGTAGCACCGGTGGCTGCGGACTTCTCTGAGCAATTGACGGACTGTGTTACTGGAACCTAACAGAATTTCCCAATAACATATTTCGAACAAAAATGTATAATCAATATGTAAGAGTTCCTAAAATAAGATCCTCCAAAGCCGAGCGAGGAACCAAGATATACAAGACACGTGCGATGTGCTGTTCAACCTTATCAGTCAATACTATTGAAGATGATACGGCTGTTCTCGAAATTGTAGAGAGGCGCTTTGAAGTAAAGATACATGATAGGGAAAAATTGAAAGAACAGTTCGGTGCATGATGAGATCTCGAAGCTGAACCGAAGAAAATCCTGCAAGGATGAAGCCAAAAGGAATGAAAGAGATGAGCTCGAAGAATAAATTATATAAGACTGTGTATAGTCACAACAAATCCGCACTAACATTCCCATGATTTTTCTCGCACCAACATTTTGAAACGACGATTCAATATACAGCGTATAAAATTTAATTCATTAATTACCTGCTATAGGCATCAATCAAAATCGAGACATGAATTCTAAAGTTGACTCTATACCTGAAATACAACCGCAGGAGAACACGGTATAGGTTTCACGTACAGGCTTTAGAGCAGCTAACAGTAACGGATGATCAGCGATGATGGTCCAGAAAGCTGCCATTAGGGCAAAGGAAGAAGCTGCGAGGCCATCGATCAAAATCTCACAAAAGCGGACACTGCGACACGAAACCAAGAAACTTGCAACGACAGACACGGCGCTTCAAATTCACTGCAAATTCAGAAAGGCTAAATAAGCAATACACATCAATTGCTGCCCCCACGAAACTTTACCTGCGGATGGGGTAGGCGAGAGACACGATCGCAACTTAAGGATTTTATGCGCAAAATAGGTTGGCTAGATAGAACATTAATATTGATACTATCATTTGATCTATTATCTTGAGCCCTCTAACCATTAGGAAAATGAAAAGACAAATAACTCGACTGTCGTGCATTCTTCTATATGTAGTACCGGTAGTAGGTAGAGATCCTACGTGAAGTTTGTGAATATCACATGATCTCTGAAATAACATCCAATTGAATTTTGAAAAAACAACAGAGTGTTTGAACGGAAATACATTGAATATATTTTACAAACACACGTTCGAGATATATAATACTAAAGTACCACAAACTTCCGCATCTAACAAACATGACTGCTAAACTTGACCGGTCCACTTAACGCAGAACTCTTATAAATTATTACGCTGAAGCTTCATAAAGGCTCGACATCTCGTAACGTATAACGCTCAGTGACTCGTAACATACAAGGCATTTAATACAATACGCACGATGTCTCATAGTACACTGCGCTCAGCTCTTTGTAACAAATAATTCTCAACGTCCCGTAAAATATAACACATTACGTATCGCAAAATTTAACGCTTAGTGTTACGTTACGCAACGTTCGAATTTCGTCAATTAGCTTCGGTGTGATAAGTCCGTGACGACCGTCCACGCAGTCGTGACGTGTGTAGACGCTCGGTTTGACGTGGTGGCGTGAATGGATAGTCGATGTGATGGGTCCACGAAGGTCGTGAGTGCATGGATGACAGTTGATGTGATGAGTCCTCGAAGGTCGTGACGTAAGTGGACAGTCGATGTGATGAGCCCACGAAGGTCGAGTCGTAAGTGGACAGTTGCTGTGATGAGTCCACGAAGGTCGAGGCGTGTGTGGACAGTCGATGTGATGAGTCCACGAAGGTCGTGAGTGGATGACAGTCGATGTGATGAGTCCACGAAGGTCGAGACGAAAGTGGACAGTTGATGTGATGAGTCCACGAAGGCTGTGAGTGGACAGTCGATGTGATGAATCCACGAAGGTCGTAAGTGGTCGGTAGGTGTGAAGTTGTTAATGAATTAAAAATGTCCATCGGTACCGATTTTCGATTTACCACTGCAAGCGAAAAATATTGTTCGATATGTAGAAAAAACTACTAAGGAAATTGGCAAAAAAATTCTCTGGTCTTCGAAGTCCACGAAGCTTGTGACGTGAGTGAAAGGTCAGTGTGTTTAGGAATCGCACGCATCGGGAAAAGCACAATATAATCAGTTTCTAATGAGAAATTGTAACAACAATAAAATAAAAATCGCTTTCAAGAAATTTGGATGCCGGAGCGTATAAGAATTTCCCATGAAGACTATCAAACCGATCGCTTTGAATACAATGCTATTCTAAAAGCTTATATTCATTGGCATGAGTCAATAAGCGATTATGGATTGATTTTCATTTATAGGAAGATTATATTCTAGGTAAAATATCATGTAGGTATTGGCGAAACGACCAACCGTAAATCATAAGAACTTTTTGTATGGCCTGCATTCGGACACTCTGTCTCAGCAGTACAGCCCAATCCATGTTGTAAATTCATGGCTTGCTTTCTCTACCCGCACGAATAACGTGATTAACAATTGGAAAGGAAACGAGGAGAAAGAAGTTGCATCATCGCAGGAAAAGGAAACAAATGGCAGAACCCGCACGTGACATATATGTTCCAATTTACGGAACAGGAGACTAAAGGCAGGTTATTTAGTGTCGAACATGCAGAAAGTTTCACCGTCAACATCAAGAACAACAACTCGTGAGACCCAAATCCGCTACTACGACTACGAGGACTAGCCTGTCTCGGCCGTATCGTGGTTTCAGAACGCATCTAAATACACAAACATAGCGCCGGCAGATTGATTTTTATTGAAACTTGAATAATATAGCAATTGACGCATAAAATCAGTTAAATATTTGATTTAGCAAGTAAAAAAAAAGAAAGTTTCCCGTAATGATGTCGCCGCCTGGCTGCTGTTGCCAGGGTCTTGGCCTGCTCAGCTCTACAGTGCTACAGGACCGGCTGGATACTTGCAAGAAGAAAATGAAAGCCTCTTAAAGGGTTGTATGATCGTTAAAAAATCTTACTTTCATCTGACAACCATAAATATCCAGAAGAAAATACCTACGTGATTATTCTTAACCCGCATCCACTCGGGACGTGTTTGCTCAGTATTGTTGGCTCTGCACCACTGGTGACGCAGTGCTAGATCATCTGAGTAACGCACATATCGCCATCAAGTCCTACCGCCTCAAAGTACCGCCTCATTTGAGTAACGCATATAACGCCATCAAGTCATACCGCCTCAAAGTACCGCCTCATTTGAGTAACGAACATACCACCATCAAATCATACCGCCTCATTTGAGTAACGCACATAACGCCATCAAGTCCTACCGCCTCAAAGTACCTGTAAATTAGGAATCAAAACTACGGAGGCGGCGGCGGCGCGAGAGAAGGAGGGAGGCAAGGCACTGACCTTGTGCAGCGCGCTACAGCTGAGCGATCTGCGGTCACCATAACGGCTGACTACAAGTTAAGCTACAGCTACACTCACTGCAGTCATAATGCTTCACGGTCGCTGATATTAACGGCATTGAGATAAAATAGCCGTGAGTTAAAAAAATCAAGAGACAAATTTAATAAATCGAGAGATAATAGGTAAAAATTACGCAAAATTAATAGAAACACCAACAGAATTTTAGAGTGTTCGTTTGATGACTGGCAATCTGGTCAAGAACGAATAAAATACGCAAATATATGAATAAAATACGCAATTATATTGTATGGAAAAAGTACGTTTCAAAATGAATTGATTAACGAGGTGGTCGACACCAATGTAGCCCAGACTCGAATGTGAGGCAACGGAACCGCTGTTCGAACTGCCAGGACTGCTCAGACTCCCCAATACTCACGGTGCAAAGATGTGTCATTCGAAGCGAAGAGATACGAACTATGATCATAGCCACCAATATTTCTTAGCACAATAGACACCACTCAACTTCATCACTTCACTTTACTAAAAAAAATAATGCCCACAAACAGAGAAGTAACTAGCAAAAAATTGAAGTCCAAGTTGTGGAGCCACAAAATCGGATAAATAGAGGGCTGGCTGAGTACACGACTTAAAACGTGGCAATTATTCTCCACCCCTTTACTTATAAATCACAAATAAGGTCACCTAGAAAGTTTTTTGAACAAAGCACCAATGAAAGACGAGTTCATGTGAGCACCAAAGGTCATACTCACTCTAGTGACTGTCTAACTGAACGCGCAGCGTGAAGCAACACCCTAACATCACGACCGTCTCAACGACACTGAATGGTGAGCTTTCTCTCGCCCTCGGTGCAACGTTGCCAACTCATCTGAATTGTTCCACGTTCTGTATACCAAATCGTGGCCGATACAGGAAACCTATCATTCTCATTCATTTAATCTGTAATGAATGAAGATGTGTAGATTATTTATGAAATATAATTTCATGTTAGAGTTATGTCGATACACGAAGTAAACTTCATGCAATGTGATAAGTAGATCAAGGTTATAGCCGAAACCTGTTTTACTGTGGAATTTAGAACCCAAACTGGGAACTGAGAAGTAAAGAAGTGATGGATGATGCCAAATAAATTTTTGCTACTGCAGTTGAAGAAGGAAAATTTAATGGACTGCTCAATCTCATTGAATTTCTTCTTGAATGGGGATTTCCGGTGAAAATAATAGCAACCAAATTTGATAGTGAGTGAAAACTCAGAAATACTATTTGTGTAATTCCTTCACTTCAGTGCAACGAGATTTTTAGAGATGAAAACCTGACCGATTGTGTCAGCTGCTCTCCCGTTTCATTTCGTGTGCGATGTTACCGAGCGCGGCCGTTTCATTTCGTGCGCGATGTTACCGAGCGCGGCCGTTTAATTTCGTGCGCGATGTTACCGAGCGACGCCGTTTCATTTCGTGCGCCATGTTACCGAGCGACGCCGTTTCATTTCGTGCGCGAAGTTACCGAGCGACGCCGTTTCATTTCGTGCACGATTTTACCGAGCGACGCCGTTTCATTTCGTGCGCGATCTTACCGAGCTACGCCGTTTCATTTCGCGCGCGATGTTACCGAGCGACGCCGTTTCATTTCGCGCGCGATGTTACCGAGCGACGCCGTTTCATTTCTGTCTCTTATACACATCTAGATGTGTATAAGAGACACTTCAAATCATGAGACACTTCAAATCATGAGACACCTCAAATCATGAGACCCTTCAAATCACGAGACAGTTCAAATCATCAATCAATCTTGAGACACTTCAATTCTTGAGACACTTCAAATCATGAGACACTTCAATTCTTGAGACACCCAAAATCCTGAGACACTTCAAATCATGAGACACTTCAAGTAAACTGCATTTGATGTTCTTCCAAATAAACTTTTCTCTTATTGGGCATTTATTGCTCATATTTTTTACCTTATTAGATTCAAAACATCAATTTTCTTTGGAAGCATAATTTTCAAGAGAAATTATGTGTTAGCGTAAAATAATCAATTGTAATTCCGCTCTCTAAACAACATTGATGAATAATACTTATATTTCTGGTATCTCATCCGGAACTGCGTCGTGTATTAATGACTAATGTGTGAGATAATGAAATTAATAAGAAACTAATTAGACTTGGTGTTATCAAAAATGCTTTTGCTTATGGAATTTCAGGGCAGTTAATATTTGTTAATAATTTTTTTCTAAGAAAAAATTACTGCATTGCAAATTACAAGTTAAATTCCTGAAAAAACTCCTTTGCTTAGTTCCAAATTAAGCCTTCATTATAATCATTACGTTCCGAAATGAAAACTGGATGTAAATTTGCAAATTTATTTAAGAATATATCGATTTTTACTCAGAAAGTTTGTGTCTTTCTCTATTTTTCGAGCTCGTCATTGATTTAAACTTTATATGAAATATGGGAGGAATTGTCAACTCCGTAAAAAATCCACAAGTATTTTGCTCTAAAAAATGCTGAGCTGATTATTTATGAATCACTTTACTGGTGGAAAAATAGATATTATGAAAAAAATCAGTCAATTCTTATTTATTTTAAATGAATGATTCATTATCAAGGCTTGTGAAATTTCGCATTAAGTTTCTCATCAGTTTTTCCTAATCTGATAGAAATTATATTAATCTTGTCCTTCAACCATGAACTCTGCGTTGTGTCTCCAATGTAATTTATCTTTCCGACTAAAATGCAATCAAGTTATTTATTAATTTTCTTTTTCTTTACATTATTCATCATGTTAATTTTTTAATCCCTCTTCATCCGCTCGCATTTCGCTGATTCTCTCCATTCTACTCATATTTCCCTCTAAACTTTTTCAAGTGTTAAACCGTGTGCTAACACTCTTAATTTCCCTCTAAACATTTTTAACTGTTATACCGTCTGCTTTCATGGTATTTCACTTGCAATCCCTTGGGGTTCTGGCTCGATTTAAGATCACTTTAAATCCCCCTGGGATTGGGGACCTACTCCTTCGCTTCCTATTGTCGTCCTTTCTCAATGTCCCCTAAATTCGCAAGCTTGCTTAACATTTCAGAAATCCTATTCATGACCAGGTTTATCGCAATTCTTATTTCAGTCTCGTCAATTTGACTAACCATTTCGTATCAGAATCTTTAGGAGTAATCAAATTAGCGTGTTAATTGTACCATTCAAGATCCAGTTAAAACCTACCAGTGTATTTCTAAGTAAGTCGTTCGATAAAAAATGTCAAGGTATCAAGTTTTTGGTCCACAAGTCAAGACCAGACGTTCGATAGCGGCTGCAAACCTTATCCGCAATGGCTGGCTATGCCAGAGAAATTTCTGTTTTACGGAAAATGAATTTATTCATTAGTTTGTAAGATTGATAGTATAGTAGACTGTTTATAGATAGTAGATTGTTTAGTATAATTGACTGATTCTCCTCGATTCCAATTATCCTTGTTAACAGCTTCCTAAAAGTACTTTTGTTGTTCAGTTATAGAATAAATAATCATATAATTTATTATTGATAAGGAAATTATATCACATAATTGATTATTAATAATTGATAATAAAAGTCTATATACTTATTTGAACATTTCTAATAAATATCCTCATTTGTATTATAACTATTTATTCTATAAATTCAGGATTTAAATCGATTATAGTATAATCATAGGTATTGATCCAATTTTTAAAATAAAAACCTCAATTAAATTTAAAAAATTAAACTATAGGGGCACATTTTCAACTAATAAAGCAAATGTTACGAAAAAAAACACGAGCAATTACTTCTTCGCTGATATGTAACAAGTCGCGTTAATTCCATTGTGTATTTCAGTATAATGCGGGATGACAGCAGTTCCAGTGGACACGTCGAGAACAAACAAAACTAATTTGCTGGCAACTAATTTTTCACTAGAAATAATATCTTGTAATAAAGCCTTTTCAGCACGGGCACACGTGTACACTATTGTTGTAAACGGGCACACATGTACACTATTTAAGTTCAAAGTGAAGTAATTTTCATCGTATTGAGCACAATTGAGTGGCGGTCTAATAGATTTTTGACCATCTCGGCGTTTAAAGATTCCAATTGTTGCTGTAAGCACTATTTTGATAGCTGCTGTACGAGTATAAAAGTGCATATCAAGTCCAAAACTTGAGCAAAGGAAAGCCGCCAGTGAACCTTTCTGGAAAATCTGGACGCAAAAATAGAATCGCGAGGTTTAAACTTCAGAAATTACCATTCACTCCAAAAGCCTTCGTGCAAAATTTCTATGAAGTTACGTACAAGATAATTTTCAGTTGGAGTTTCAGACTCATTTTCTGTTATTTTAGCGACAGCATGTGCAGATATAAAGACTTTTTGCATTTAGGTTGTTTGATGATGAGGCATTTTCAGCATCGGCAGAAAGAAACTGATTCGCCAAGGAATTCTCGAAATTGGCTTTGGCTTTGTACCGGTAGCACGAGGCTTCTATTGATTTTTTTAAATAGCCTTTTATAATCCGTACCTGTTGTCTGCTATTTCTGATTCTAGTTCACAGGAAACTTAAGAAGAAACTAAAGGAAATTCACGTAAGATGGAAGAATACACGAAACTTATTACCCGTAATTATTTACGGCGCATTCAACTCATGAAACGTATAAATTTTGTTTGATTAGGAAGAACATGAATACGATGAGATACTTAGAAATTTTGGACCAGAAAACTCATCAAACATTTATTTATTTTAGGCATGCATACATAAAATACCTTAGCACCCTTATGGTGAAACGTATTAGACATTTATAAAAAGATACTGGAAACTTCATACAAAAAAGTGACATTGAATAGAATATACCTGTGATGGTTGAAAATTTTCAAGAATAGTTGCTGAGTTGCTTGCAGGCCTAAAATAAGTGATCGCACCATTGCACCAATGCACAATTGCGTTATTGCACCAATACACAATTAATTGCATCATTGCGCTATTACAGCATGGGGTTTTTATACCATTGTCGTCTTGTGGCCGCTAATTCATACATATTGAAGCAAAGCTGGAGAGCCGCGGTGTACTCATATTTGCTACGGTAAATCCTTGCACAAATTGGAAGGCGAAGGACTGAGGGATCTGTGTGATGCGGAAGCGACCTTCACATCGGAAAACTTATTTAGTAAAAAGATTTTCGAGGCTATTGGCCCGCTATCTGGCGTCCATCATTCAAATGGCTGGACATATAGGCAAGTGTACTCAATCTTTTTTTTTTCATGAGAATGTATCGAGGGCAGTTAAGAAGTTAATATAAACCAGAATGTTCCCTTACCCCCTACATTTTAATTTCAATATCAATAAACTCAACCCTCTTACATCCCACGATGTCTTATACAATGTGCTCAAGCAGCGTCTTCCATTAATGTGCGACTTGGCGTCAGGGACCCAACCTCAAACTGCGTGTAACAGGGTCAAATTTTCATTATTAACACAACCTTGAGTCGAATTAACCTAACCTTAGTTTCCCCCAAATAGTTTGTCGAGGTAGGCAAAACCATGTCCAAGAGCACGATCTGTCTCTTATACACATCTAGATGTGTATAAGAGACAGATGTTACCGAGCGAGGCCGTTTCATTTCGTGCGCGATGTTACCGAGCTACGCCGTTTCATTTCGCGCGCGATGTTACCGAGCGACGCCGTTTCATTTCGCGCGCGATGTTACCGAGCGACGCCGTTTCATTTCGCGCGCGATGTTACCGAGCGACAACGTTTCATTTCGCGCGCGATGTTACCGAGCGACGCTGTTTCATTTCGTGCGAG